ATATGTATTTTGTATTCTATACTGCCGTCTGTTTGATTCTCAAAAACTCTACGTTATTCTGGTGTGAGAACAGACGTAGGAAAGCACGTTTCCATTGCGCTGACGCTTCTGGTAACAGCGAGTTAGCGGTTTCACCGGACGTGGATGAGCGGCTCACTCGGGTGAGTTTCTTTCCACTCATATGCCTTTTGTCAGGTTGGATCGAGATTCCGGAACTAGCCATGTTGGAACGCCCAACCTTAGCCACGTTATGTCATGTTAATTTCGTAAACTACCGTGCTTCTTCATCGCGCGATTTGAATATGGTTAGTTTTTCGGTTTTGAATAGTGTGTACCTTTAGCGTGGGCGCCACGCAAAACTCTGCGAAATGTTATCTTTTTGTCGAAGTGAGTTTATCAGTTAAAACCTTTCGGAATACGTGGTAATTAAGGTATTTCAGCAGTTTTGTGACGTTTGGTGACTGGGTGCGCACCCTAAACTTGGTCCTGTGAATAGAGTGTGCCGCGAATTATGCATTCCATTATAAGGTTGGAAAGATTTTGCAGAAATTGTAGTCCATTGGCGACGTCGCAATTTTCGAAGAGTCCGCGCAGAATCATGTTATAAAGTACCCATTACATTTGGCAGAAGAAGTAAAAACAAGGGATAAGCGGCACTAATAATAGAGCACATCGGGTAATTACTAATTCCAGTGAGTCCTGATCTTTCCTAGGAGCCATCATCTTCTCTCTATCCCATCCTCCAAAACCCCACATTTTTCAGCATTATATTGGACCCTCCATTATATTGTACTGTGATTTTTGTATCCCCGCGCTATGTGTCAAAGTGGCGAAACACACGCCACGTCTTGTACTGCTCTGAAAAGGTTTGTAGGTCTGCCGATGACACCACACCACGTACGACGATTGTTTATTGTTGATGCCTCAAACTTGTGTAATTAAACCTCAACAATTAACTTATAACAAATAAACATATAAGTAGAGTTAATAAATGTAAAGAAGAACATTCAATGAGTTATCCTACACACAAGAGATTAGCGGAAATATCTAATGAGGCGACACAAGCACTAAATGTAAGTAACGAACATACATAATCAACGATGACTGAGTATATATAGACTTTCGCTTGTTGGTTCCATCATTCCTTCAACAGCTCCAATCGTTTTTATCTATACTTCGAAATCTTTTTTCCAAGGGGAATGTCGCATCTGGCCTCGAGGATGTATCCTGTGGCATTCCGCAGTCTATTTCTTTCTCTAGCAAACATTAAAAATATTGCTCGATCGCGTCGCCATCCGCGATAGGAATGTCTCAGCTGGCGTCGAGGAGCCCTTGTTATATTCCGCAATTCTCATGTGAAATATTGCTCAATTGCATCGCGATCCGCGATATGCTCTCTGTTTATCATAACAAGTGGCATATAAACCAAATTGTGATATGCCATCTGTTTAGGAAGGCTCTGAGCATTTTATTCAAATGTAAACGGTCAAAGTGTTCAACAGCCATTGGTTCAGGATCAAGAACGACGAAGCTTTATCAAGAACGTTCAAGACGATTCCATCATTCAAAAGCGGAGAAGAAGCCTCGTTCAATCAAGAACGGAAAAAAGCTTGTGAAATCAAGTGAGTAGGAA